CCAATCTCTATGCCTTGTCTGGCCTGCCTACCACCCTGGGTCCCCTTGTAGGGATCCCAGCCTTCCCGCAGTGACAATGACAGGCCTGCTCGGAGAGCAGAAGACACCCCAGTGAAAACAGAGGTGCTGGAAAGCAGGCGGCTGGCCTGGGCTTGGGAGCCTTCTCCTGGCCAGTCGGACAGGCCAGAGGTCAGCTGCTGAGGGGCCCTGTCTTTCAGGTGAACCTCATGGCTGAGTGAGCCTCCCCTGGGCCCTGCACCCCACCCCAGCATGGTCCAGGACCGTGGGGGGTGCTCCAGAGCACAGCTGCTGACCTGGTCTTTGGGGGCAGCCATGACCCAGCCTCCACCCACCAAGGCACCGGCCAAGAAGCATGTGCGGCTGCAGGAGAGGTGAGATCTTTCCTGGGAGGGGGGGCCTTCCCAGCCCTGAGACCCTGCCTGGTTCCCTCCATCTGCCCCCTCGAGCTCTGACAGCTGGGTCCAGAGGGCCCTCAGCTGTTGACTCCAATCTGGAAAGGAAAAACCCAATGTGTTCATTTGCATGGCATTTGCATGGCATTTGCATGCCTGGGGTATAAAGTTTCACGTCAGCCTTGTGCCTGCTCCCCGAACCCTAAGTTGGGCTGAGCAGCCCCTGGAGCAGGGCTGCCTTGGGTCCGGATGTAGGTCTGAGCTTTAGGCGCCTGGAAAGAATGGGTAGAGGTGGGCAGCTGGAGGTTCAAGGCTGCCCTGATCTGACTGACAAAAAAAGGCCATATAGCAGGGGCCTGAACCCTTGAATCTCCCGGGCCTCTGGGTCCAGGGGAAAACAAGGAGCAGCCCCCTCACACGTACCCCGTAACAGTAAGAATGGCTAGAGCAGCTCGTGCTCCTGGGTGCTCACTGGGCGCTGGTTGTCTGTGCCTGCAGGCGGGGCTCCAACGTTGCTTTGATGCTGGATGTGCGGTCCCTGGGGGCTGTGGAACCCATTTGCTCGGTGAACACACCCCGGGAGGTCACCCTACACTTTCTGCGCACAGCTGGACACCCCCTCACCCGCTGGGCCCTGCAGCACCAGCCACCCAGCCCCAAGCAGCTGGAAGAGGAATTCTTGGTAAGAACTTGGGGTCCCCTCTGAGTCACTCTGCCCCTTCTGAATCAGAGACAGCCAGCTAGCACCATACTATCTTGGGCACTGCGGGTATGTCTCTTCTTTGGGCCCTCAGAATCGACGAGAACCCCAGTGCCAGGGGAGAAAATCACCCCCTGCTCCCCCTTCTGCCCTCCACCCCATCCAGACCTACTAAAGCCAGGAGAAAACAGCCAGGACCAGCTCCACTAGATGGGGGGGGGGGAAAGGGGGGAAAAAGGCTGGGAAGAGGTAGTGGCTATTCACTCATTTCCTCCCTCTGCCAGAAGATCCCCTCGAACTTTGTCAACCCCGAAGACCTGGATATTCCTGGCCACACCTCCAAGGACCGATATAAGACCATCCTGCCAAGTAAGAACTGTGGCAGGCATCAAGGGAGGTGGTGCTGTCCCTGGGGCTGGACAGGTTCAGAAGGCAAGACACACAGCCTCAGCCAGGGAAGAGCTCCCTTACCCGGGGCACCTGCTTTCAGCAGAGAAATACCAATACCTTGCCCCGGCTGGGGGAAGGAGGAGCGAGAACCATAACCACAGTAAGAACACGGCAACTCGTATTTGCAGATGCTTACTGTTGGGCCAGGCAGTGCTGGGAGCCCCTGATGTTAACTCATTTCTCAAAATGACCCCATGAAGTTGATGCGATGCTATCATTACTCCCGTTTTACAAACGAGGCAGAGGAGTCGCAGAAAGGTTGCCTAACTTGCCGAAGATCACAGCTTCTTTGTGCTCTTCCTCCGCTGTGGGAAACGCCCAGCAGAGGTCCGTAGCGGGAAAGGCACCATCAGGACGGCTCCCAGAGGGAGGGCTTTGAGCAGCTCAGATGCAGGGCATCCAAAAGAGAGCAGTGACAGGTTTGGAGAAGGGAGTCCAGGGGCTGTAAGGGGTTGACCCCTCAAGCTCAAGGGACCCAGGGATCAGCACCTCCCACCTTTCAGAGGCAAGCGCGAGACCCTCACAGATTCTCTCCCTCCCCCCACTCAGAGCAGCCTTGTCTGGCCAACCCACCTCCAGTAACTCCCAGTCTTGAGGCCTTAGATCACCACCAGCTCCTGTGGTTCCAGCCCTCTGCCCGCAGGGGTGGGTCAGCACTCAGCATCTAAGTGAGGGGGAGGGAGCAGCCCTTGTTCTTGGCCAAAGTCTAACCAGCCGGCAGCCACGAGAGAGGGGTGAGGGCCCTCTGCCTGCAATCCCCCTCTGTCCAGAAACAGGCCAGCTCCGGGAGAGCTAGTCTCCTTTCCTCGCAGGCTAGGTTCTCTGTCCCTGCTTGGATTGGATTTGGAGAAAGCCTTCCCCCTTCGAGGGACAGGCTGAAACGCCCAGTATCGGAATGAAGCCGGAATTCTGGTCCTGCTTCCCCACTGTGGGATTTTAGGCAAGTCATTCATCCAAATCCTGTATTCACATATTCACCATCAGAAACAAACTCTTTCTCCATGACATCTCTTTTTCTGTTCCCACTGGTACAATCCTGCTCCACACCCTTACCAATCTCAAGGCTAGAATATCTCAACTCACGGCCCATTAGGCCCCTGCGGCTCCATTTCCTTTCCTCAATAGTCTGTCCTACAGGGCACCACCCAGTTAACCTTCCCCAGTTATTCCTTTGATAGTGTCACTCCACTGCTCCAAAACATTCTGTGGCTCCCTATTGTCCACATATAAAATTTAGTGGGTCTCTGGCCACCTGCTATACCAGAGACACTGTGATAAGCACAGGAACTCACCTCTTCCTGACCTTGTTGGCGTGTACATTAGTTGGTCCCCTTTTGACCTCTGACCTCTGCTGATTTTTACTTCCTAGATCCCCAGAGCCGTGTCTGTCTAGGCCGGGCACAGAGCCAAGAAGACGGAGACTACATCAACGCCAATTACATCCGAGTGAGTGGCCTGGCTGAGGCTGCCCTGCAGGCAATGGGGTGCAGGGGCGGGGGGGCTGTCTTTGAAGACGTCTGTCCCCAGAGAACGTCTTCCAGCTGTGAGTTCCCGCTCCAAATCACAGCTGCCAAGCTGGGGCAGACACTGAATAGGCCCCAAGCCACCAACCGAGAAAACAGAGCAGATGTTAAGCTGAGAAGAAGATACCAGCCAGTCTCCTTCATGCACACTATCACTTCATCCCTGCCCACCTTCTACACAGGGAGGAAATTGCATTGTTGAACCCACTCCCGCATATCCCCCCGGGGCTCATCCCTCTTAGCTCTGCTTGGAAGGTGCTCGCACAAATAGGAGCTCTTAGCTGTCTCCCTTTTCTCTCTCTCTAGGCTTAAGTGCTCCCCAAAGTAGCCCCTCCTTGGTGGAAATGGTTTAACATCAAACTATAGGAGCCAGGGAGGCAAGGTGGCCTCTCTACCCCAGCTTCCCACCTCTACTGGCCTTAAGTAGATGTAAAAGCAACGCCCCCTAGTGGCTCAAAGTGGGTAGGACAGCAGTCAGAGGCGCCAAGAGGTGGAAAGCTGTTAGCCAAGGCCGGGAGAGGAAAGGAGAGCTCTTGGCCGCATCTGTTTGCGGCAGAAACTTGGTGAACGGTGGTGAACGGTGGTGAACGGTGGTCTGTCTGGATTTCCTCATCTTCGGGAGCTGAGATTCTAAAGGGGAGAGGAAGGGGTCAGCAAGAATGTGCTACATCTTGCTACTAAATATATACAAGTAATACATAAAAGTGAAACATTCACTCCACCAATGTTGAACACTGTTTTCTTATTGTGTGCTAGTAGAAAGCAGCAGGGGAGGAAGGGAACACACACGGACAAAGTATTTGGTATGTGCTAGCCTCTCCGTATGCTTTGTGGAATGTAATCTGTATTATACTCCTGCAAGTTAGATATTACGCCCAATTTACAGATGAGAAAGTTGAGGCTTACAGAGGCTAGGTAACCTGCTTACGGTGGCATAGCCAGTAAGCAGCAGAACAGGGATTTGAACCCACGTGTTCCTCCCCCAGAACCTCTGTCCTCTCTACCATGTGGCTCCCAGTGCACACATGTGTGTGTCTGTGTGTGCGTGTTCAGTGGCTTTGGCCGGATCCCAGGACCTACAGAGTCTGGGATTCCCCCAGAGAGCTAACACACTGCTTCCTACCCTTCCTTTTGTGCATCCACCTCCCCAGGGCTACGATGGGCAGGAGAAGGTCTACATTGCGACCCAGGGCCCCATGCCCAACACTGTGTCGGACTTCTGGGAGATGGTGTGGCAGGAAAAAGTGTCACTCATTGTCATGCTCACTCAGCTCCGAGAGGGCAAGGAGGTAGGAGCCACAGTCTTTAGTGAACCCAGAAAGAGCTACATTTTATCCTACCCCACATGCTGCTACTCAGGGCAGCTCAGGACTAAGGGCTCCCCTGGGAGTTGACAATACCTATAGCCAGGCCCAGCTTGCACTTCTAAAAAAGTTTCTGAGCTATATGCCATGGGGGCTATCCACAGCTAGAATGGGGGATAGGGTGCGCACTTCACCTGCACGTGCCAAGCTCAGGAGAGCCCGCCCCAGGTGCCAAGCCACCAACCGAGAAAACAGAGCAGATGTGAAGCGCAGTGCGCAGCCCCTCCAGCAGGGGTGGGAAATTGGGAGGGGACCCCACTCCCCTTTCTGTTGTGCTAGCCCCTGCTCAGGCTGATAGACACTTCCCCCTTCTGACTCCCAGCTCCCTCCCTCCTAGAAATGTGTCCACTACTGGCCCACAGAAGAGGAAACCTACGGACCCTTCCGGCTCCGCATCCAAGACACAAAAGAGTGTCCAGAGTACACTGTGCGGCAGCTCACCATCCAGGTACAGGGAGCTCAGACCACCTCCAGCATCTCTGAAACTCAGGCCCAACCTTCACTGGGAGCCAGGGGTTGACTCATCTAAACCTTCTTGAACACACATCTAAAAGAAGAGCTTGAGGCACAGAAGAAAGAGAAACATGGGTACTGCCCTGGTCTAATAGGGCAGAGCCAACAAACCAAGCAGGAGCTGCCAGGAAGGCCCGTCCGTCTGTGCTGAATGGGCCCAGAAAGGAGAGGTGGGGTCCCGGAGTCATGCTGAAGGAGCCCCAGGAAGTCCAGAGACATGTGAAGTGCTTTAAAATGCCTTCTATTATCATACAGCATTTGCTATCTTTCAAAGCATTTCTCTACCAACTCCTTATCCTCCAAGCATCCAGAGAAGCAAACCAATAAGATATCACTGTGTCCTTTTTCTAAGTGAAGAGAATGAGGTTAAGGGACTTTGCCCAAAGCCATGTGCTAGTGAGAGGCAGAGCCAGAGCCAGGACTTGAACTTGGGTCTTTCCCCCCTCCCTGGATGGCATTCCTGCCAGCATTTCAGGGGAGGGAATTGTGGAGTCTGATGAGCAGGAGAAGGGAGAGCTGACCTTGCCTGCTCGGGGTCCCTGACCGTGCCATGGAGTCATTCTAGCCCTTGACCTCCTCTGGCCCCAGAGAAGGCTGGCACTGCCCCCTCCCCTGACCCTGGTTCTCATGCCTTGTCCCTCTGCCAGCACCAGGAGGAGTGCCGGGGAGTGAAGCACGTCCTCTTCTCCGCCTGGCCTGACCACCAGACCCCAGAATCGGCTGGGCCCCTGCTGCGCCTGGTGGCCGAGGTGGAGGAGAGCCCAGAGACAGCTGCCAACACTGGGCCCATCGTGGTCCACTGCAGGTATGCGCCCCGCCCTCCCCGGCAGCCTTGACGCAGGCCCCTCTTCCCTTGCCACTGGGTCTTTCCTTGGAATGGGTCCAGGAAGGACAGCATCAAGCAGGCCCAATTCTTCCCAGGATGGGAATCCCTAGGTCACTCAGCAAAGTGCCCTGTGCTTATTCTCTCCTTCAAGCAGAACCTGGCCATGTGGGCTGGACATTCAGGCACAAGCCAGAGAGGGGAAAGACTATCAGAAAGCTTCCCAGTCTGCTGGGGCAGGAGGTAAACATGGTCCCTGCTGTTGAGAAACTCAGTTACTCAACAAATGCTTATTGAAAACCTGTTATTGTCAGGCACAGTGATAGATGCTAAGGAGACAGCTTGGCTTCCGCCCTGACAGGCTCGCAGTATGACGAGGGTTATGATGGCGGTGTCGGGGGGCACAGAACCAAGTCGCTCATCTCAGAATTTGGCCAGAGACAGTTTTCCAGGAGAAAGGACATTTAAACCAAGTAACAACCTGAGAGGTGAATTAGCCAAGAGTAGAAAGGGGAAACATTCCAGACAGATAGAACAGCGTGTGCAAAGGCCCCTCGATGACATTTTTTTAAAAGATTTTATTTATTTATTTGATAGAGAATGAGAGAGAGTGAGCACAAGCAGGGGGAGTGGCAGGCGGAGGGAGAAGCAGGCTCTCTTTGACAAATAAATAAATAAATAA